CGCGTGTGTGTGTGTGTGTGTGTGTGTGTGTGTGTGTGTGTGTGCGTGTGTGTGTGTGTGTGTGTGTGTGCGTGCGCGCGCGTCTATGTGTTCAGGGTGTCTATGTGTGTGGTTATAATATAAAAATATAAAATAAAATTCCGTTTTTGTCGTTTTCATAATTTCTCGATCGTTCTGATACTTATCGGTACTCCTTGCACAACACTAAGTGTATATAGTAAAGGTAACATGTCATAGAGCACTCGCGCATCATTTTGTCCACCAATCTGTGCATCGATCTACATTTCAAAGTAGATTTGTTTACATAATGTCAACATCACTAGCGCATGATTTTCGCTCTCGCGAGGTGCCTTCGACCGCTATGCTGTCTCTACGCTATGCTAGCCGTGTCTACGTATCGAAATACGTACACCAGTCTGTAAAAATTTGCGTCACCTAACTACGTGCACTTGTTTTTCGCGTTCGCACATTTTACTTTCGCGAATCTCAAGATTCCAATCGCAAGGTTGCTGTTCATTGACTGTTTTATAGCCTATACGAACACAAACTCACAGTAACCTTTACGCTAAGGTAATCGGTAATGTGCACGCCTAGATGAAGCTAGATTTGTCTACGTGTATTAATATCTTGACCTAATTGAGAGATGATCGCATAATAAAAATGGCGCTAGCGGCGTACGCCACGCTAACACGCTATCGCTCGCCATCCGTATAACACCGCGATAGTTCTTCGCGACGAAAAAAAGGTCATACAATAACCATCTTGCTAGAAAAGGCGGATATTAGCGAAGCGCTGCTAACAATAGATGTAATCAAGAGCCCATTAACCATTAATTAATAAAGGGTTTAATGGGCTCTTGATGTAATAGGTGCTAGCGTCAGTGCACCGCAGGTCGTGTCGAATTCATAAAAGTAGAATGGAGGTACCTCTATTTATACTTCTTGGTCGGATTACGTATATACATTGAAAGTCATTCTCTCACGCTCGCATCTCTTGCGGTTGCGTGCGTGAGACCGTAAGATGGCTTATCACAACCTGGCCTTATAGTTCGCGAGGTTGGTAAGTAGAGATTGCTTCCACGCAGAGCTGCCGTGCGTTCACATTAACGGGGGTTAGCAGCGAACGTGTCTTATCGTTAGCATCACCAGCGTTTCGATAATCGGCACCAAAAAGTGGCCGTATATTCATCGTCATCATTGGTTCATTTGAAGGACGCACGCACGCACGAACACATACATGCACGCACGCACACACACATGCACGCACGAACCCACACACACATGCACGCACGCACACACACATACGCTCACGCCAATCACGCACGCACGCATATTTAACAGCACCAAAACATCAGACAATCACAGAGAAGGAGTCAGCGAAGTCAACAGTGAATGTAATATTCAAAGATTTATTAAATTCTGCAAAGCACTTGTAACTACAGTATTTAATGTAATGCACCGAGAGAGAGAGAGAGAGAGAGAGAGAGAGAGAGAGAGAGAGAAAGAGAGCCAGTACGTGATACCACCTAATTAGAAAAAAGAAAACAGCTTACGGGTCACAAAGAACACATCAGCTTCACGGCAAGTCCGAACATACCCCTCCAAAAAAAACCACCCACCCAGAATGCTCCCGGGTATATAGTAGTAGCTACAGTGCTCGTCAGAGGGCGACACACGCGTAATTTAATCCCACCGAACCCCTTCGCGTCCGTTGCTAGAGCAGTTGCTCAGCCGAACATCGTTATTGCATACCGTTAACATGGCCGACGACATCCGGGTGTTTCACTAGCGTCGCCGACGACGATAGGACATCGCCAATAACAAAGCCTAACGCTGGTGGTCGACGCCGGCTGTCTTATAGCTAGCGGATGCCTCTCTCTCGCCCCCTGGCGGGAACAGGTGAGGTTTGATCACGCAGGAGCCTTCCCAAAACAGCGGACAAGACCGATAAAACACGCACGCACGCACGCACGCACGCACGCACGCAACTCGTCTAGAAAACAAATGGAAGATTCTTCTATCTACCCGGATAAAAAAATAACCACGACATATTTTTGCGTTCGCCTCTCTCTTGCGTCGCGCGCAGACGAGAGCGAAGCGAAAATACGCCACGCCTGCGCACAACGACCCCACGATGCTATACAATAACCATCAGATCCTCTCATCGTTAAACACTCATTCCTCTGTCTCCCGCCGACCCCACGTCTGACGAGTTAGAGAGGGAGAGAAGAGGTTAGCAGCCAGCCGCTAGAGGCCGCCATTTTAAACCGGTAAGCGAAATAAATAACTCAGGAGTATTAATCACCGATAATATACGAAACATAACGGCAAAATCATAATAATAACGACCCTAGCACGGTAGATAAAGACTATGAATCTGATTGCAAATCAGATTCTGAGTGAGATTAAAGATCGGTTGAATCGAGATTCGAAACACAAGTTCATAAATCGGACGGCAACGAAAAACCGAGGCGATGAAATAGTTAACCCAGATAAATTAAACTAAATAAAATGCAGTAGCCCGAAACACATCGGAACCTATGTTTATATCACACACACACACACACACACACACATACACACATACATGTTTGTCGCACGTACCAGTCCGCTTCCGTGGCGACAAGCGAGCAGCAGGTCGATGATGACATAGATGAGCGGACAGGTGAGGGGAGAGGCGGCGAGCGCGGCCATGCCGATAGACAGCAGAGTCGCCAGCGTCCGCGCGACTGCAGGACAGAAAGACCGAATATATCACACAGTCACATGCAGCTATAGCACCGCCACTAGCACAGACATAATGTTAGGAGCACATTTTAATAGCAGAATTGCAAGCGTCCGCGCGACTGCAGGACAGAAAGACCGAATAAATCCCACAGATACATGTAGCTATAGCACCGCCGCAACCCTAGCGGCGGATGATAAGTAACATATTTGACCACAGGGTAGAAGTATGAGCTAATATTGGTGAACGTAAAAATAAACAACAACAACATCATCATCAGCAGCAGCAGCAACAACAGCAACAACAACAACAACAACAGCAACAACACCAACAACAATAAGAACAACGACGACAACGACACTAACAACAACAGCAGCAGCAGCAGCAACAACAACAACAACAACAACGACAACGACAACAACAACAACAACAACAACGACAACGACAACGGCGACAACAACAACCACCAGCTGCCGGGGTCGGCTGTTGTTATCCATGACTCCCTGCACTGTAAACACGTGATCTACGCTGCGACCTATACCGAGGGATTGTTCCTTACTAACGAGCTTGCTGCGTACAATATAATGTCGGCGGTAATGTAGTTAGGTGCATTAGCAGCAGTTAATACGTACGGTTAATCTCGTTGGTGTCTGCGGACGTATATGCGAGCGGCCGTTCATAGAATGCTCGACGAGACCTCTTCCTCTTAAGGTTTGCTAATTAAAACAAGGAAACAATCTCGCTGTCAGATTTACCTGATATCGTGTCGAAGATCGATGTAAAGGAATAATGTCATCGTCCGTGTTATTTAGTCTAGTGTGATAATCCTGATATTAACCTTTGCTAATTTAATAGGAAACGAGTAAGCAATCTCGTTATTCGTGTCATAGAATGATGTAAAGCAATGATGTCATCGTTACTGTTATTTCGTCGCCCGCGAAATGTCGTGATAATTCTTATATCGGATTATATCAAAGTCTGATAAACATATTATTGTCTTATTTATGTTGTGATGATATTTACTAGGTCAATATTTCGTTGTGAGGATAGATTTAAATAGATTATTTAAAAGTAGAAAATAAAAAATAAATATAAGAATAAATAAATGAATAAAACAAGTAAAAGCAAAATGAATCGTAAGTATTCACACACTAAAGCGCACCATCATCGTACTGGGCATTCAGGAAGGGAAGCTCTGTGAGTGTATGAGGCATTGCGCCCGTGAGTGCGTCCGTGATGAGGTCATGTGGTTGTACGGCGCCATACAGAGACGCCTGGTGGCAGGACGCGGTGGTTTTCGCAGGGAGATACATTGGAAGCTCATCGAAATCGAATCGATACGCTGCAGAAAAGTGTTTTATATTATTTTGGACTATTTATTTATCGTCATAATGGTCAGCCGCCACTATTTATTACAAATAATAAGTTATATAATCTTCTTAGTGCGTGGATAAAATTTACATTGGATCGGGAATAGTCAATGCTGTCTGTTTCATTAAATATTTGAAATCAGGCGAATATGGAATCAATCCAACAGCGATTTGCACATT